GTTAGATTAAAGTCCTGTATCCCTGAATAAAATGATATTTAATGAGTGAGGGTCCCTTTTATAAATTAATATTTGAAAGGAAATTAAAGACCTGTTTCTCCTGAATAAAATGATATATAATAAGTGATATATATTAACTGAGGGTCCCTTTAATATATAAATATTTGATGTTAAATGAAATCCCTGTTTCTCCTGAATAAAATGATGTTTAATAAGTGAGGGTCCCTTTACTATATTAATATAATAAGAGATGGTCCCTTTAATATATTAATATAATAGGTGAGGGTCCCTTTAATATATTAATATAATAGGTGAGGGTCCCTTTAATATATTATTATAATAGGGGAGGGTCCCTTTAATATATTATTATAATAGGGGAGGGTCCCATTAATATATTATTATAATAGGGGAGGGTCCCTTTAATATATTAATATAATAGGTGAGGGTCCCTTTAATATATTATTATAATAGGGGAGGGTCCCATTAATATATTATTATAATAGGTGAGGGTCCCTTTAATATATTAATATAATAGGTGAGGGTCCCATTAATATATTAATATAATAGGTGAGGGTCCCTTTAATATATTAATATAATAGGTGAGGGTCCCTTTAATATATCATTATAATAGGGGAGGGTCCCATTAATATATTATTATAATAGGGGAGGGTCCCTTTAATATATCATTATAATAGGTGAGGGTCCCATTAATATATTATTATAATAGGGGAGGGTCCCATTAATATATTATTATAATAGGGGAGGGTCCCTTTAATATATTAATATAATAGGTGAGGGTCCCTTTAATATATTATTATAATAGGGGAGGGTCCCATTAATATATTAATGTAATAGGTGAGGGTCCCTTTAATATATTATTATAATAGGTGAGGGCCCCTTTAATATATTGATGTAATAGGTGAGGGTCCCTTTAATATATTAATATAATAGGTGAGGGTCCCTTTAATATATTAATGTAATAGGTGAGGGCCCCTTTAATATATTAATATAATAGGTGAGGGTCCCTTTAATATATTAATGTAATAGGTGAGGGCCCCTTTAATATATTATTATAATAGGTGAGGGCCCCTTTAATATATTAATATAATAGGTGAGGGCCCCTTTAATATATTATTATAATAGGTGAGGGCCCCTTTAATATATTATTATAATAGGTGAGGGCCCCTTTAATATATTATTATAATAGGTGAGGGCCCCTTTAATATATTAATATAATAGGTGAGGGCCCCTTTAATATATTATTATAATAGGTGAGGGCCCCTTTAATATATTATTATAATAGGTGAGGGTCCCTTTAATATATTAATATAATAGGTGAGGGCCCCTTTAATATATTAATATAATACGTGAGGGCCCCTTTAATATATTAATATAATAGGTGAGGGCCCCTTTAATATATTAATATAATAGGTGAGGGCCCCTTTAATATATTAATATAATAGGTGAGGGCCCCTTTAATATATTAATATAATACGTGAGGGTCCCTTTAATATATTAATATAATAGGTGAGGGCCCCTTTAATATATTAATATAATAGGTGAGGGCCCCTTTAATATATTAATATAATAGGTGACGGTCCCTTCAATATATTATTATAATAGGTGAGGGTCCCTTTAATATATTATTATAATAGGTGAGGGTCCCTTATTATTAATATAATAGGTGAGGGCCCCTTTAATATATTATTATAATAGGTGAGGGTCCCTTTAATATATTATTATAATAGGTGAGGGTCCCTTTAATATATTAATATAATAGGTGAGGGCCCCTTTAATATATTAATATAATACGTGAGGGCCCCTTTAATATATTAATATAATAGGTGAGGGCCCCTTTAATATATTAATATAATAGGTGAGGGCCCCTTTAATATATTAATATAATAGGTGAGGGCCCCTTTAATATATTAATATAATAGGTGAGGGTCCCTTTAATATATTAATATAATAGGTGAGGGCCCCTTTAATATATTAATATAATAGGTGAGGGCCCCTTTAATATATTAATATAATAGGTGATGGTCCCTTCAATATATTATTATAATAGGTGACGAACCTTTAATATATTATTATAATAGGTGAGGGTCCCATCAATATATTAATATAATAGGTGAGGGCCCCTTTAATATATTATTATAATAGGTGAGGGCCCCTTTAATATATTATTATAATAGGTGAGGGTCCCTTTAATATATTAATATAATAGGTGAGGGCCCCTTTAATATATTAATATAATACGTGAGGGCCCCTTTAATATATTAATATAATAGGTGAGGGCCCCTTTAATATATTAATATAATAGGTGACGGTCCCTTTAATATATTAATATAATAGGTGACGGTCCCTTTAATATATTATTATAATAGGTGAGGGTCCCTTTAATATATTATTATAATAGGTGAGGGCCCCTTTAATATATTAATATAATACGTGAGGGCCCCTTTAATATATTAATATAATAGGTGAGGGTCCCTTTAATATATTAATATAATAGGTGAGGGTCCCTTTAATATATTAATATAATAGGTGACGGTCCCTTTAATATATTATTATAATAGGTGACGGTCCCTTTAATATATTAATATAATAGGTGAGGGTCCCTTTAATATATTAATATAATAGGTGAGGGTCCCTTTAATATATTATTATAATAGGGGAGGGTCCCTTTAATATATTAATATAATAGGTGAGGGTCCCTTTAATATATTATTATAATAGGTGAGGGTCCCTTTAATATATTAATATAATAGGTGAGGGTCCCTTTAATATATTATTATAATAGGTGAGGGCCCCTTTAATATATTAATATAATAGGTGAGGGTCCCTTTAATATATTAATATAATAGGTGAGGGTCCCTTTAATATATTAATATAATAGGTGACGGTCCCTTTAATATATTAATATAATAGGTGACGGTCCCTTTAATATATTATTATAATAGGTGAGGGTCCCTTTAATATATTATTATAATAGGTGAGGGCCCCTTTAATATATTAATATAATAGGTGAGGGTCCCTTTAATATATTAATATAATAGGTGACGGTCCCTTTAATATATTATTATAATAGGTGAGGGTCCCTTTAATATATTATTATAATAGGTGAGGGCCCCTTTAATATATTAATATAATACGTGAGGGTCCCTTTAATATATCATTATAATAGGTGAGGGTCCCTTTAATATATTATTATAATAGGTGAGGGCCCCTTTAATATATTAATATAATAGGTGAGGGCCCCTTTAATATATTATTATAATAGGTGACGGTCCCTTTAATATATTAATATAATAGGTGAGGGTCCCTTTAATATATTATTATAATAGGTGAGGGCCCCTTTAATATATTAATATAATAGGTGAGGGTCCCTTTAATATATTAATATAATAGGTGAGGGTCCCTTTAATATATTATTATAATAGGTGAGGGTCCCTTTAATATATTAATATAATAGGTGAGGGTCCCTTTAATATATTATTATAATAGGTGAGGGTCCCTTTAATATATTATTATAATAGGTGAGGGTCCCTTTAATATATTATTATAATAGGTGAGGGCCCCTTTAATATATTAATATAATAGGTGAGGGTCCCTTTAATATATTATTATAATAGGTGAGGGCCCCTTTAATATATTAATATAATAGGTGACGGTCCCTTTAATATATTATTACAATAGGTGACGGTCCCTTTAATATATTAATATAATAGGGGAGGGTCCCTTTAATATATTATTACAATAGGTGAGGGTCCCATTAATATATTATTATAATAGGGGAGGGTCCCTTTAATATATTATTACAATAGGTGAGGGTCCCATTAATATATTATTATAATAGGTGACGGTCCCTTTAATATATTAATACAATAGGTGAGGGTCCCTTTAATATATTAATATAATAGGTGAGGGTCCCATTAATATATTATTATAATAGGGGAGGGTCCCTTTAATGTATTATTATAATAGGGGAGGGTCCCATTAATATATTAATATAATAGGTGAGGGTCCCTTTAATGTATTAATATAATAGGGGAGGGTCCCTTTAATATATTATTATAATACGTGAGGGTCCCTTTAATGTATTATTATAATAGGTGAGGGTCCCTTTAATATATTATTATAATAGGTGAGGGTCCCTTTAATATATTATTATAATAGGTGAGGGTCCCTTTAATATATTAATATAATAGGTGAGGGTCCCTTTAATATATTAATATAATAGGTGAGGGTCCCATTAATATATTATTATAATAGGGGAGGGTCCCTTTAATATATTATTATAATAGGTGAGGGTCCCTTTAATATATTATTATAATAGGTGAGGGTCCCTTTAATATATTATTATAATAGGTGAGGGTCCCTTTAATATATTAATATAATAGGTGACGGTCCCTTTAATATATTATTATAATAGGTGACGGTCCGTTTAATATATTAATATAATAGGTGAGGGTCCCTTTAATATATTATTATAATAGGTGAGGGCCCCTTTAATATATTATTATAATAGGTGACGGTCCGTTTAATATATTAATATAATAGGTGAGGGTCCCTTTAATATATTATTATAATAGGGGAGGGTCCCATTAATATATTATTATAATAGGTGAGGGTCCCTTTAATATATTAATATAATAGGTGAGGGTCCCATTAATATATTAATATAATAGGTGAGGGTCCCTTTAATATATTAATATAATAGGTGAGGGTCCCTTTAATATATTAATATAATAGGTGAGGGTCCCTTTAATATATTAATTTAATAGGGGAGGGTCCCTTTAATAAGAGAGCGGTGCATTCTGGGTAACAGTCCAATGTCAGGCTGGGTTGTGCACACTTGGCTCTGTGAGGATGGAAGGATTGTTTGTGTATCCGGACTGGTTACTAATAAAGTTATTGTTGTTCTCAGTCTCTCTAGCCCTGAGCACGGCGTTACCAAGGTTACAGTCCTCCCGCCCGCCCGGCGGTGTCAGAGCCAGGAGACACTTTATGGTCTGTCAGAGGCCGCTCTATCCCTGCGGTGCGGAGCTCTATGGTTAATGCAGGGCGATCTAGCCGCGCTCTCTATGGTTCCGCCGGAAGTGGTGTGAGCAGCATGGCGGAGAGCGGCGCAGGGATGGCGGCGGCCGAACAGGACACTCTGTGTATGATCGTCCTGGGAATGGCCGGCTCCGGGAAAACCACCCTGGTACAGGTCAG